GGGTTGTTATTGTTTTGTGACTGTTCTGTTAAAGGGTATTGTGTATAATTGTTTATAAAGTTTTAATTGTTGTTTAAACAAAAAGTATGACTCTTAAATGCAGAAGAAGTGTAGTGTACATAATAGAAAGTATAGAATTTATGTAATACATAATGTAGTGTACTGTGTATTACGCTTGATAAATCAGAAGGTGCGGTTGATTCATAGATAAATAAGCATAAATAGATCGCTATCTCGGGCCATTTGGCGTTACACTCATTTTAATTTACGAATAGATCACTACATGGCAGCACATGTTCATACAGTATGTAAATTAACCCCTGGTATTACTTCTACATTTGTACATAAAATCAATACAGCCCAAAAATCTGAAAAAAAATATTTGAAATAAGAACAAAACATACGAAATACAAAATATATTTTCAAAATATTTTTTAAGAATTATAAACTAACCAGAAATAACTGACTACTATTAATTAAAGTATATTACAGACATATTTTTAAAGTACTTATTCAATTAATATTCTAGAAATAACTTATTCATATTAATTACTTAATGACTAATAATAATATATTAAAAACTTAAAAACTAAGAAGTAAAAAGTGCAGGAGTATTGATGATGTAATGACAAATTTAGAAGGAATGACAAGTAATGCAATATTTTAAAAGGATAAAAAGAACAGCACATTTTTAAAAAAGAATGAATACTTTCCAAACAAAATAATCCTAAAAACAAAACATATATATATTAATATCCAAATTGAGATAAAACTAAATTCCTAGGACTAAAATTCATTTACGAGACATTCTTGTTTATTATCTCTCCATTTAATAGTTATTTTGCTATCTGATCAATCATTAATAAAGTTATATTTGACGAAATCTTTGAATAGTTTCTGTATAAGGGTTTTTTTAAACGTAAGTAACCAAAACCCTGAACTACTTTTAATTTATACCAATTGTAGCTCAAATCTATCTATCGTTTTAATCCAGTTTTTATTGCAAGGAGGTTTAGTTACTATAACTAAACCCTTACGCTTTATAAACAGTCTGGTCTTTGAGTATGCTCTCTTAATTGAGACATTATCAAAATTCTTGCCCTTACATTTTAAGTTTCCGGAATGTTTGAAAACTTCTCAGAACATTGTATACTCTGTTGGAATTTATCCTTTAAATTATTGCATTGCATTTTAATCCCGAAACAAAATTTGATGTATCATACACCTTCTGGGTGTTAAGGCACTCCTACGCCTTATCATTGCATTCTGCAGCAATTTGCAGCTACCATCAAGGATTCCTATTGAATATATTGTTATATCATATTAATTGAAGATATTGTAATTATCATATTAAATATTTTTGCTGCAATTAGTATGAAAAAATACCTTTTCGGAAAACTGGTATCAGAATAGGTGACTTTTAACCTGCACTTCACAATCTTAGAGGTGCTGCAAAAATCTTTTTCAAGGTGTTTAGGCTTCCATCTCCTAAGAACATAAGATTCATTTATTAATATTTTTTTGCAAATGTTATTGAAGTATTTAGAGTTATAATTACTTGTCCTTGTCCTTGGAGTTGCAGATTGTTCTTCTGGTTCTGTATCAGAGCATTCTCCAGTGACTTGAAAACTATTTTGTTATTGCCGTAAAGGAGACACTTCTATTTGGTATCGATTTCAAATTATCGTTGATTTGTGCCACAAACCAAAGAGTTAGGTCATCCATTAAAAGATTATTCGCCCTCTGCATCCAAATTGAAAGCATCTTTTTACACACAAATATTTACACACAAATATATATATATATATATATATATATATATATATATACATTTTAATAGTATTGTGATGATACATATTCATTATATGCATAATACATCATTATATACATACCTGATAATTAGATGCCGGAAAGACATGCATTTTTTTATTATATTTGGGGTTATAACAATTTGGCACATAACACTTTATCATTTTAACTTAATAATAAATGAAAAAAGTAATTATATATAAACAATCACAGAAAATCTCAACTACAATACGCGATGACAACTTAACAACTTATAGAAAATGGCCGATCAAATCAATGTAGATCAACAAGCCAGCTGCTAGATCAATGAAATTGGAAATCGTAGCGCCATCCTTCGAACTATTCAAATACCAATCCATTTCAAAACACGGTAATCTACATTTGTTCGGAGATTACCGGCTATGGGTTGATTCATTAAAAGCATTATTATTATCTAATGCTTCAGTCAATGCCTTATGCTAGTCTAGCTTCTATGAAGATATTCCAACTTCGTCTAATGTGAATACTCAAGACTGTATTTTAATTCATTTTATTGTCATTAGATATTGTATTTCTGAATCATGTATTATAATTTTTAATGACATATGACTGTATTTTACTAACGTAATAACAAGTTAGAGTCCAATAAAAATTGTTATGATCATGGCCGGTAATCTCCGAACAAATGAAGATTGTTTTGAAATGGATTGGTATTTGAATAGTTCGAAGGATGGCGCTACGATTTCCAATTTCATTGAAATAGCAGCTGGCTTGATCTACATTGATTTGATCGGCCATTTTCTATAAGTTGTCAAGTTGTCATCGCGTATTGTAGTTGAGATTTTCTGTGATTGTTTATATATAATTATGTTTTGGTGAATACTTTTTTCATTTATTATTAAGTTAAAATGATAGTGTTATGTGCCAAATTGTTATAACCCCAAATATAATAAAAAAATGCATGTCTTTCCGGCATCTAATTATCAGGTGTGTATATAATGATGTATTATGCATATAATGAATATGTATCATCACAATATATATAATGAATCAGGTGTATATATAATGAATATGTATCAGAATATATATATATATATATATATATATATATATATATATGTGTAAATATATATATATATATATATATATATATATATTTGTGTGTAAAAATTTGTGTGTAAAAAGATGCTTTCAATTTGGATGCAGAGGACGAATAATCTTTTAATGGATGACCTAACTCTTCGGTTTGTGGCACAAATCAACAATAATTTGAAATCGAAACCAAATAGAAGTGTCTCCTTTACGGCAATAACAAAATAGTTTTCAAGTCACTGGAGAATGCTCTGATACAGAACCAGAAGAAAAATCTGCAACTCCAAGGACAAAGCCAAGTAATTATAACTCTAAATACTTCAATAACATTTGCAAAAAAATATTAATAAATGAATCTTATGTTCTTAGGACATGGAAGCCTAAACACCTTGAAAAAGATTTTTGCAGCACCTCTAAGATTGTGAAGTGCAGGTTAAAAGTCACCTATTCTGACACCAGTTTTCCGAAAAGGTATTTTTTCATACTAATTGCAGCAAAAATATTTAATATGATAATTACAATATCTTCAATTAATATGATATAACAATATATTTAATAGAAGTCCTTGATGGTAGCTGCAAATTGCTGCAGAATGCAATGATAAGGCGTAGGAGTGCCTTAACACCCAGAAGGTGTATGATACATCAAATTTTGTTTCGGGATTAAAATGCAATGCAATAATTTAAAGGATAAATTCCAACAGAGTATACAATGTTCTGAGAAGTTTTCAAACATTCCGGAAACTTAAAATGTAAGGGCAAGAATTTTGATAATGTCTCAATTAAGAGAGCATACTCAAAGACCAGACAGTTTATAAAGCGCAAGGGTTTAGTTATAGTTTTAACTAAACCTCCTTGCAATAAAAACTGGATTAAAACGATAGATAGATTTGAGCTACAATTATTATAAATTAAAAGTAGTTCAGGGTTTTGGTTACTTACGTTTAAAAACACTTATACAGAAACTATTCAAAGATTTCGTCAAATATAACTTTATTAATGATTGATTAGATAGCAAAATAACTATTAAATGGAGAGATAATAAACAAGAATGTCTCGTAAATGAATTTTAATCCTAGGAATTTAGTTTTATCTCAATTTGGATATCAATATATATATGTTTTGTTTTTAGGATTATTTTGTTTGGAAAGTATTCATTCTTTTTTAAAAATGTGCTGTTCTTTTTATCCTTTTAAATTGTTGCATTACTTGTCATTCCTTCTAAATTTGTCATTACATCATCAATACTCCTGCGCTTTTTACTTCTTAGTTTTTAAGTTTTTAATATATTATTATCAGTCATTAAGTAATTAATATGAATAAGTTATTTCTAGAATATTAATAGAATAAATACTTTAAAAATATGTCTGTAATATACTTTAATTAATTAATAGTAGTCAGTTATTTCTGTTTAGTTTATAATTCTTCAAAAATATGTCTGTGATATATTTGAAAATATATTTTGTATTTCATATGTTTTGTTCCTATTTCAAGTAATAATTTTTTTCTTATTTTTGGGCTGTTTTGATTTTATGTACAAATGTAGAAGTAATACCAGGGGTTAATTTACATACTGTATGTACATGTGCTGCCATGGAGTGATCTATTCGTAAATTAAAATGAGTGTAACGTCAAATGGCCCGAGATAGCGATCTATTTATGCTTATTTATCTATGGTTATGATAATGTGTGATTTATATTTAAACCTGTACATAGTCATATTTGTTTTTCTTCTTTTATTGATTTGATTTGACCCTAGCATATATCATAATATATACTATTGATTGAAATGTTTTTGTTATTACTTAATATGATTTTATTATTATTATTATATTTTTACAAATTTTAAAACAATTGTAATGCAAAGTTCAAATTCTAATAAACTATTTTTAAGGCTATATAATATATAATATATTTTTTTTATTTATAGTACATTATTTTTGAAGTACAAATATTTTTATTTCAAACTTTGGCGCTTTAATTTGAATTGCAGATGATATGCGATTGGAGCGCCATAGCACTGTAGCGCCCGTAGCAATAATTATTTTTTTTGAACCAAAATATTGCGAGAATGAAACATCTATACATCTATATTATTATATTGTCTAGGCGTAAGTCAATAACGTAAGAAGTGAGTCTCGCGTATTAACATCTTTGTTTTCACGTGTAATTTTAATAATGAATAGCATCGGATCAAATTGCAACGAATTAAAAAAACAATATGACACTTGCTTTAATAACTGGTTTGCCGAAAATTTTCTCAGAGGAAACACTGAAGATACAGCATGTGCAGCAGTTTTTAAATTGTACCAAGCGTGCGTTAAGGTAGACAAAAATATTTATGTATTTCTGTGAAATTACTTTACTTATATGCTTGAAATTTATGTATTATTTCCAGAAAGCTATGAAGGATCAAAATATTGAATTCAAAGAAATCACTGAAATTGATTATTTAACTCATGAATACTCTAAAGAGGATTCTGATAACACTAATATGAATTCAAATACTAAAAGTTCTAAGTTTACTGTAAGTTGACTAGCTTTCATAATACATCACTGTACTAAGTAAATTATGTAGAATATTTCTTTAAATAAATTCTATTTTGTTTTGTAATATAATATTATATATTTTGAAATTAAGTCAATTTCATAGACAAAAGAAATATTAGATTTTTAAAATTTGATGTTTTTTAGATTAGTGTCATAATAATACATTCGTAATATAAAATAAAATAAAACATTGGTGTAATCATACAGTGACATTGTGAATTTTTATACATAGGTATATTGAACTGTAATAACATTTCGAATAATTACTTTTGTTTAATAATTACAATACACGTTGCTAGTTATTTGTAGGTTATCTGGTCATCATTAGTGCTTACTGTTGGATTTCATAAATATGTTTCTATAGAAGAAATTAGTATATTAAAGTTAGAGAAGTAGTCAGGCATAGAGTTAGTCAGACTTAGTATTAAATAAAATGCAGTCTTTGCTGATATGATGATCAAAAGGTTATCAATAAATATTAATTGTAATAATAGTGAATAATAAAAGTATCATCCCAAGCAAGAAGTGTTTCCGAATTACTATCAAATCGCTGATGAAGTGTTTCAACCTCCGGAGAGTCCACATCAGAATTATTACACTTCAACAACTACTGAACTATTCCGCTCTGGTCCAGCCTACCAAGTACAGTTCCTGGTCGTATTGGTTATCCAGAACATGCATCCAAAGACACTACCAACCAGCCCATGACAATTCTATTTATTTATATATAAATATATATTAGGGCAGGTCGATTTGTATGGGTAAAAAAAGTCACATAGGCACATATGATTTTCGTATACTAGGGATCAGAATAAGATTCTTTGTCGAAGAAATCATATCTCTAAAATGAATTCTGATGTCCCGTGTATTCACCCAAAGATTGGGTCAAATTTTAAAAATGCCCATGGTTCACCCCCTGGGACCTCCCTTTAGAGGTCCAGCATAAAAAAGTTGCATCATTTTGGGTACTTCAGCATGACAAATCTGCGATTTAATTTTATTATAACATTTATTTAAGATATGTAAATAAAACTATGTAAAACTCATAAACTATTGTTTGATGTCTTTTTTAGTTTCAAGTCTGGAAAATTTTGCATGGCTTTCTAATATCGTCGCCATAACAGCTTCTAGCTAGCATAGAAGCGCAGAAACAAAATGCATTGGAAAAATTGAAACAAAGAAGAAATTTAATAATTTTAATCGGCTCTAGTGATAATGATTTCTGGATTATTTTTCAAAAAAAAGTTTACATTGTTTCAGATCTTTTAAGATATAGTTATAGTCAAGGTTTGTGTATGAGGATTTTGTAAATGAAATGAGTTTTTTGCAAAAGATCTGAACCAATGTAAACTAAGAAAATGTTAAATCTAAGAAAAGAAAATGGATTTTTTAATTAACAAAATAGTTGAAAAAATAATAATGTACAGGAATATGGTAATATGATCAAAATGAAAATCATAAAAATAAATGAGTGGATTATAAATAACAGTATATTAAAAATGATAAATTTTTTTTGAAAGTTATGGAAAATTTTAAGAAAAGGTTAATGACAAAATTGAATTAATTACCTGTATGTTTGAATATACGTTAGCACCTTTTCACTAAAAAAGATTTTAACAAAAATTTAATTTATGAGTTATTTTTCAGCCGAATAGGTAAATTTTGTAAATCAAAATTACTATAAGTTCTGTCTTTTTTAAAATTATTATTTGAAAACCAAACAATATTATTCTCTCGATGTTATGAGATCGGCTGTTTGTAATAAACTGATTCTGAGTCACACACACTCGTGTGACCACTTGAGAACTGTAAGGATGTGTGTGTGTGTTTTTATATGTTTGGAAGTGATATTTAAATTTTTTACACTTTTTGACAAACAATTAATATCGACTTCCATTTAAGATCAATAATTTAAGTATTCACTTCCGAACATATAAAAACACACACACACACATCCTTACAGTTCTCAAGTGGTCACACGAGTGTGTGTGAAATTGTGAAAATCGGTTCGTGCGTTCTTGAGTTATATCGTCAGGAAGGAAAATCCGACTTATTTATATATATATATATATATATATATATATATTTATATATTGTATGATTCTGAATTTGATGTTGACATATGTATAAACAAAGTCTAATAATCGGGCATAACATCAATAAAAAACATGAATTTCTTTCAAAAAATTGTTTAAAATCCATACGTTTCGGCTATAATCCTAGCCTTCATTCAGTGGAAAAATCAGTTAAATCTTCCAATTTAACACTAAGATTAACTAATTTTTCCACTGAATGAAGGCTAGGATTATAGCCAAAATGCATGTATTAAAATAAATTTTTGAAAGAAATTCATGTTTTTTATTGATGTTATGCCTGATTATTAGACTTTGTTAATATATATATATATACACCTAAGTCTGTTTTTACACGGTCTTTTTGTACACGGTTTTGATATAACACGGTTTGAAAATTGAATATTTTTAATTTTTTTACACGAATTTATTCCATTTAGCACGATTTGAAATTTTATGTACCTAAATTTTTTTTGTCAAATTAAATTTTTGCGAAGTATGTTCATATCACAAAAAAGTATTTATGAAAGAAAAAAGTCTGAAACCATCGATAGTATCGATAGTTTGCGAACACTAGCTTAAAGATTTAAGTGAATTCCCCTTTAGCGCGTACAAACAATTTTTACTGGTCAAAGCAAATGTGAATAGCACTAATTTAATTCTTGTTCTTAAAAATTCTTGTTTTTCACCAATTTTAATAGGTTTTGGAGATCAGGAACAAATCACCCATTTTTGTATAAGATCAATGTCTTTTTTTACACGTTTTTTTTTTACACGGATTCTTCTGGAACCAATCTCCATGTAAAAACAGACTTGGGTGTGTATATATATATATATATATATATATATATATATATATATATATCAAAGGTAATATGTTACACTCCAGCACGTGCATTCATAACCAAAACGACTGGGCACCAAATGTACTCAAAGAGGTACGTGAGTTTGAAACACATGTTGTTTTAAACAACACACATTCACACTTGAGAACGAACGAATCATTTCGATTGAGATTGCATCTAGGGCATTACACAGGGGACTCTATTTTAGAGCAGCTTAAAATTGGCATGGTATATCAGATGGCATTGGACTATATGCATCTCGTGTGTTTAGGTGTCACCAAAAGATTAAGTCTGTGGGTGAAAGGTTCGAGAGATGTCAAATTAGATATTTGTTATCTTGCCACTGAAAGAGTAAGTGAATTTTTGGTAAGTTGTAAAAAATGTGTAACACCTGAGTTTTCTAGAGGATACTAAGACCTATTAAAGATGTTAACCATTGGAAGGCCACCGAGTTCAGGTTGTTTCTGCTATATTTTGGACCTAGTTTTACGACCTGTACGGGAAAAGGATAAGTATATCCATTTCATACAACTTAGTTAGATCCAGAGATATGCTTCGAGAAAAACGATACAGCAAAGAAGTATCTCACTAATTTTGTAAATGAATATTCAAGGCTATATGGAGCTGGCCGGATGACTTTCAACACTCACAATTTGATACATCTTCCTGCTGATGTGATGAATTTCAATTGTAGCTTAGATGAGTTCAGCTGCTTTTCTTATGAAAACTATTTCAAGAAGATACAAGGTAAGCTACAGAACTCGCCAAAACCTCTCCACCAGCTGGTCAACAGAATGCTTGAAGCAATGTTTGCTAATGAACAGAGATATCCAAATATGCAGTATGAAAGAAATGGACAGATAAAAATAAAATATAAAGATTTTATTATTTGTAATAGCGCTCCGGACATTCTTTGTATGAGCACTAGATAATTCTCTATAATTCAGTGTTAAGCATATTCATAATTCAAGCAATCAAATTGTTTGTTTATTAATTAAAAATTACAAGCCATTGTTTGTGAGTACATGTGATTCTACGATTTTTCATATATATCTATATGATTTAAATGACAACAATAGTAATGAAGTTGTAATATCCGCCCAGCAAATTAAAAAAATAGTGCCTTTTTTGCCATATGTTACTAGAAAATATATTGTGTCAATACCAATAGTTCATTCGAATAATTGACATCATATTATTAAGACATTATGATATTAAATTATTGAAGTGTTAAATATTAAAAACAATATTGTATAGAATAATTGTCTAGAAATAAATGTAAAATAATATAATGTAATAAACAGTTTCATTGTTTACAATATTTACAGTTTCAGAAGTTTCATTGTTAATTTTATATATAGTTATAACAAAAAACTTTAATCAAAAATTTAAAATTAATAAATTGGTATATGAAATATTCACAAATGTTTATTTTTAATGTAATTATAGGTATGCCTCATCTTCAGTGTAATTTCAAAACAGTTACTTATATACTACACATTTTTTAATATTTCATAAATTACATTTAATTTAAAAAAAAATAAAAAACACCATCACTTGCAGAGCTTGACACAGAACATGTGAAACATACAGATATATTTTAAACAAATTTTAAGTATCAAGATGAAGAGACAGGATGTATATTATTATAATGTAAACAAATAGAGTGCGCGATCGCATACTAAAATCAACAAATGTAAAAACAGATTAATTTATTAATAATTATGTTCTCTGCACATTTTGTGGCCTAGGTAAGTAATTTAAGCACATAAGTGCACTTATTGTATTTCTAAATTCGACGAGAAGCACTTGTTTGAAGCGTTACTTTTCAGATCATTCGCAGACAGTTTGCAGAATATTTGAAAGCATGTTGATTCGAGCAGGATGTGGTCACATTATAAACTGCACTGCTAGTGAGTAGGTTGACAAAAATATAATGCTGTATTAGCCGATAAAGCTGAATTCATGAGTAAAAAAGGCAAAATTTTTAATTATTCCTCATATCCAGGATTTTTATCAATATGGACTGAGTTAGATAAATTAATATGGCAGTGCTTGTGCATCCGCCAATTGTTTAAAATTAATATGGATTACTTTCACTAGGAGATATTATTGAAGCATACTCTGTAGCTAGTGTTGGTATACATGTAGAACGAGTCATACAGAGAATGAACATTTTTAAAATTCGACATAATATACCAAAGAACCTTCAATTTTTGGGTGAGAATATTGTTTTTGTAAGTCCTATTTTGGTGAACCTACAAACTCACATTATGGATAAGGGGAGGACAGTAAATGAAAGAAATGTTAGTTTATATTAGATTAAATAGTTTATATTAGATTAAATATATATGTATCATGACCCTAGACTTGTATAGTAATAACTGCATATTAATTTTATATGTATATAAAATAGATTGAGAGCTTTTGGAAATCAATGAAAAATACTTCTTGAATGTAACTAAATTAATCTGAAAGAAAAAGCATTTTGAGCATATAATTTTTAACAGGTAGATAATATTAAATTCAAACAAATAGTTACCAATCTGTGGAGGCGGCCCTCTCTATCAATAGTAGTGAATACTGTTCAAAATAAAACAGTTCCAGTATTGGTATAAACTTTAAGAAACTTTTCTTCCTTACATATACTGATACAATATATTCCTAAAATTATAGCTTATATTTGCAATCAATAAAACAAAACATACCTGCAGGTGGCGGAACAATAATTTCCTACTTTGCCAATAACATAAATATTATAATTATGACTACATACCTCACTGAATCCATCCAACGAAGCAATTTATTTCTTCGTTAATTTTTATTCGAAATCATAACAAATTAGTGAATTCACTTTCTTATTCATGCACTTTCTTCACTTCTACACATAATTGGTGACACAGAAAGGCATTATTAAAAATAAATAAAATCTGCGATTATAAGAACGATGGTTAATCTTTAACAAGCACATAAGTTTGAAAAAAAAACTCAAAATACGAAATAAAACCTGTCAAACGCATAGACCTTATATTACATGGACTGCTAATCCCATAGACCCATAGACCTTATACAATTTCATGGACTGCTAGTCCCCATACATTTCTCAAGTAAAAAAGTGTCAAAAGATGTTCTATGGTATGAGGGCATACGAGGGTAATTTCGCGGCCGAGATATGTCAAACTCGATCGCTTAAACGTCAAATGAAAGTCCGTGTGTTCGAAATTGTTGGCAAAATATTATATAATATACAATTTATGTTGAACTAATGAATGTAATGAACATCTTT